GTTAGTATATCATGACTTGGATATATGCCCCCCTAATGCAAGGTGGTTTAGTATTAGAAATCAATTAACGTAATATACCCCCACTGACAGATTAAACAATGGAAACTATAAAATCTTCATCCAATGCAGAAAAGGCATTTGGTGAATATTCAACATCAATCTTAAAAATAAGCAAATAAAAATGTTTTGGCAATTTAGGAATAAACGAAGAACTTCTTTTAACTTGATAAAAATGTATTAGAAATACCCTAATGCTAAAAGCTTTCTCTTTGAAATCAGGAACAAGACAATGATGGCTTCTATCCCACTTCTATTAAGACCCCCAGGAGATGCCTGAACCCCATATAAACAGGCACGCTTGCCTTTATTGCCTTTTGCAGACACTGCATTCTTTACAAACTGAAGATGTGTGCCAATCCTACATCAAGCAAATCTGTCAGCGCCATTTTTTTTCCAACAGAAATGTGTTCATTTTGTGTCTCTGTGTCGCATTTTGGAAACTTGTAAAATATTTTAAACTTTTTTGTTATTATGATACCTATTATGGTGACCTATGATCTTTGATGCTACGACTGTCATTGTTTGGGAGTGCCACCGCAAACCACGCCCATATGAGATGATGAACTGATACATGTTATGTGTGTCCTGACTGCTCCCCCAACTGGCTGTTCCCCAACTCTCACCCTTTCCTCTGGCCTCCCGATTCTCTGAGACACAACATTGAAATTAGGCCAATTAATAACCATACAATAGCTCCTAGGTGTTCAAGGGAAAGAAAGAGCTGCATGTTGGTCAGTTTAAATCAAAAGCCAGAAATAAGAAAGTTTAGTGAGAGAGGCATGCAGAAAGCTGAGGGAGGCTAAAAGGCAGGCCTCTGAGACCAAACACTAAGCCAGGGAGTGAATGCAAAGGAAAACTTCTTAGAGGAAATTAAAAGTGCTACTCCAGTGAACTCATGAACAGTAAGAAAGCAAAACAGCCTTATTGCTGATACAGTTTGAGTGATCTGGAGGGAAAAATCAAACCAGCCACAACATTCCCTCAAGCTGAAGCCTAATCTATCCCACGCCCTAATTCTCTTCAATACTATGAAGGCTGAGAGAGGTAAGGAGGCTGCAGAAGCTAGATGCTAGCAGAGCTTAGTACCTGAGGTTTAAGGGAAGAGTTAGCTCCAGAACAGAAAAGTGCAAGGTGAAGCAGCAAGTGTTGATGTAGAAACTGCAGCAAATTATCCAGAAGATCTGGCTAAGATCACTGATGACTTGGCTACACTAAACAACGGGGTTCAATGGACACACAACAGCCTTCTATTAGCAGAAGAAACCATCTAGGACTTTCCTTGCTAGGGAAAAGTCAATGCCTGGTTTCAAACCATCCAAGGACAAGCTAATTTTTATTTTTATTTTATTTTATTTTATTTTTTTAAGACAGAGCCTCAAGCTGTCATCCTGGGTAGAATACCGTGGCGTCACAGCTCACAGCAACCTCCAGCTCCTGGGCTCAAGCGATTCTCCTGCCTCCACCTCCCAAGCAGCTGGGACTACAGGCGCCCACCACAATGCCCGGCTACTTTTTGGTTGTAGCCGTCGTTGTTTGGCGGGCCAGGCTGGATGCGAACCCGCCAGCTCAGATGTATGTGGCTGGCACCTTAGCCGCTTGAGCCACAGGTGCCGAGCCAAGCTAACTCTTTTGTTAGAGGACAATGCAGCTGATGACTTTATACCAGTGGTTCTCAACCCATGGGTCGCAACCCACGGGAACTATATTAAAGGGCCACGTCATTAGGAAGGTAGAGAACCACTGCTTTATACTGAAGCCAACATCCTTTTACCATTTAAAAAAATCCAGGATCCTTATGCTAAATCTATTTCACCTGTGCTCTATAAATGGAACAACCAACCCTGGTGATGGCACATCTGCTTATAGCAAGGTTTACTGAATATTTTAAGCCCACTGTTGAGACCGATTGCTCAGAAAAAAGGATTCTTTTCAGAATATTACTGTTCATTGATAATGTACCTCACCACACAGGCATGGATCTCCTTAACAAAGTGATTCCAGAAGAACAAAGTGGGGCAGCATAAAATTTCATCATACTATGCAGAAGAGTCTGCAATTTGAAACTTACAAATTATTTATTTCTAGAATTTTCCATTTATCATCTTCTGACCATGCTGATCAGGGGTAACTGAAATGCTAGGGAGCAAAATGTGGTTAAGGAGCAAATGCTGTACTAAAGGTCTGTAATGCCGGGAGGGAAGAAGGGAGGAAGGATTGATTATATAAGGATTGAAAAGTATATTCTAGCTATTGCTTTGTAACAAATTACCCTTGAATCAAGTGCCTTAAAACAAACATTTTTGAAAAGATTTTTAAAAGGAAGAAAAAAATCATTATTATATGTATATCACAGTTTCTATAGGTCAGGAATCAGACACAGCTTAGCCAAGACTTCTACCTCAGAGTTTCTCACAAGGCTGTAATCAAGGTGTCAGCTAGGCTTGGAGCCACCTCAAGATTGACCAAGGGAGGATCCTCTTTTAAGATCACTCGATCACTCACAAAATTGTTGGCAGGCCTCATGTCCTAGCTGGCCGTTGGCCAGAGACATCAGTTCATTGCCTGACAGTTATTTCTAAAGAGCATCTCACAATGTGACAGGCGGTTTTCCTCGCAACAAGCTGGGAAAGAGTAAAGGAAGGGACACACAAGGTGGAAGCCAGAGTCTTTGTAGAACCTAATCTCAAAAATGATACCCCTTCACTTTTGATGTATTCCGTTAGAAGCATGTCATTCAGCTCAACCCACACTGGAGAAGGAATTACCCAGGGCACTAAATACAGGAGACAGAAGTTACTGGGGACATCTTAGATACTGTCTAAAATAGAAAGGAAAAACAAAATCTGTCATTGTCTGCTGATATGCAATGAATGTAGAAAATGCAAAAAAAAAAAAAAACATACTAAATGTTTAGAATAAGAAAGCCTCGCAAGGTTATTGGTACAAAAATCAGTTTTCTACCCTATACAAGCAACAAAGAGTAAAAGGAAATTTTAAAACATCATTTGCAATTGGGTCAAAGGTCAACAGTAGTCCGTTGAATAGTAACTGCTGAAGCCAAGGATAGGTACTCGTCTTTTTACTTCTGTATATATCTGAGAATTACTAACAATTCTTAAAAGTATCAAGTACTTAGGAACAAATCTAATGAAAGATTTATAAACATTGACAGGGAAACTGATTTTTCTTATTTTAAATAAATGGAAAAATCAACCATATTCATGGATTAGACTTACTATTACAAACATAGCAATTCTCTCCAAATTGATTCAGAGATTCAATACAATTGAAATCAAAACCTCAGCAGTGTATGTCCATGTGTGTAGCTTAACAATTCATTTTGTATCATTAAAATTTGTATGAAGTGAAAAGTCCAAAAATATATAGGAACAGCATTCAGCCATAACAACCACAGAAATGCAAAATAAAACCATCATCAGACACTATTCATATTCACCACAGTGACAATATTTCACACTCTCACAAAAGCAAGTTTTGGTGAGGATGTTAAGCCAAAGAGCTCTCAGGTATGGCTCATGGGACTATTAGTTGGTACAACTCCTTTGGAAAGCTGCTGTTAATCGACTTAGCAATTTTACACTTACACCATGGTTTTATGTATTTTTAATCTCTCCATAAGTATACATTTTTCAAAAAGTAATCTAAAAAGAAGGAAGAAAGAAAGGAAGGGAGAAAGGGAGGGAGGGAAGAAAACAATCACAGACACTTCCATAGATAAGCATTAGGAATAAACTCTCTCTTGGAGGGCAAATAGAACAGAAAACAGAATTATTTTTTGCTCTACACAGAATTCCAAAGTCTCAGAATACTGGAACACTAAAAATCTCCCTTTACATTACATATTTGGAATGCAAAGTGATGCCCAAACCAATAGGAATATTTTTATCCATTTTTAATGTAAGCAAAATCTGTGTCAGCCATAGGAGGGAATGGGACACATCTCAAGTGCAAAGAAAAAAATCAATCCAGAGAGTACCACAGCCAATTTATAGTTGGTGTTGCTCTCAGCTTTTTGGAGAAAACTTCTGGGTGCTCCATAATCCAAGTGTACCACTATCTTGCAAAAGTGCAAGGCAAAGCAAAAAAACTTACAAAACACCCTCGTAAAGGCCAGTACTAAAGTCCAAATCTCACGTCTTATTTTCTTATAGAAATAAATGACTCGTGTGAGAATACTGGCAAAGGCATTTCAGGATACTAAATGATCTAAATAAATAACAAAATTAAAAAAAAAAAAAAACCTATGACACGAGGTTCACTATAAAAAACAGTATTTATTACACTTCACGTACTTTCAAAAGGATGGAAATGGGAGGCGCCTGTGGCTCAAAAGGGTAGGGCACCAGCCCCATATGCCGGAGGTGGTGGGTGGTTCAAACCCAGCCCTGGCCAAAAAAAAAAAAAGGATGGAAATATATTTATAAATGAAGTAGTCGTGTTTTATTTTACCCATTTGTTTCTCACAAAAACAACAAAGATTTCGCTTAGAATTACAAGTCTATGAGAACCCAAATAGTTTATCCAGTTCAATTTTCCATCTGTAGCTAAGACTGAAACTAGACCATTGCAGGCAGATGGAAATCTACTACACCTATAGGTAAACATCAACTAATAGATACATGTTATAAAAATACCAACTTTAATAAAGTCTGGCATTGCAGCCAACAAATCCACAATAAAAGACACAGCCATCAAAATACACATAGGACATTAGGAATTTTTATACAATTAGAAATGGAATTTACATAGGAGAAATCACAACTGGCCATTAAGACAATGGCATCACAGTAACAGTACCCAGTGCTTTCTTATTCAAGTGTATCTATATACATACCATTTTTAAGACTTGGTCATGACATCCACTAGGATGTACAAACAACTATTTTATAAACACCATGAAAAAAAAAGATGAAAATACCATTTTGTAACAATTACAAATTATGTTAACATTACCACTACATATTTGACTCAATTGTTTTTATTAATCTGTACACTTTTAAAATAGCATTGAGTTTTATAAAAATACTGATACTGGCTCAACATTTTTAAAAATCAGATAATCTTTTATAAACTACATTTCAGAAGTCCATATTTTTTGCTTTTCTTTCTTCAACCAACATAGTCCTTCTTCTAACCTGAATCCATCACTCAAAACAACAGGTCTCTAACTCCTGTTGCTGTGGAAGTATTACATCCGAAAACTTCTCGTTCTTTGAAATGGTTGGAAGGGCTTTTTGAATGCCCACATTAGCAGCTGTGGTTTGGGTTTGGGTTTTTCAGGAAACAGAAGTGCTTCACTTTCTGGTGTAGGAAATCGTTCTTGGTAGACTTCAGGATAGGATTTCTGAAACTAAAAGAAAGGTCCGAGAAAGAGTCAAAAATATAAAAGCCAGTAAAATAAAACTTTCTGATCATTATTTCCTGGTTTTTCTTTTAATTTTTGTTAAATCATTTGATTCTAGCTTCTGTAGTGCTAATTCATTTGTCCTTTGACCCAAGCTTTAAATGAAGAGGTCCTGTTAGTCATATTTCTTTCTTAAACTTTCCCTAACTGCTAACTATAAATACCCCTCACTCGAAAAATATTCACAAGTGACTCTGGCTTCAAAATAACTTATGTTCTAATAGTTAAGGAAAATTTTGGCCCAATTATACATCGCAATCTCTCTGCTTCTCTAACTCAGCCCCACCTGCTTCTGCCCAAATAGAAGAGAGAACATATATTTCTTTGTGAAAAACTTAAAGACAGACAATGTATTTTTGCTTTGATATTCACCAGTGAACTCTTCTCCAAAATTAATCAGAGATTATAATTAAAAGCATAGAACTCCAATGCTCTGTAGTAACCCTGAATTTGCAGTGTGACCTAGAATCCAGGTACAAAGAGTTCAGTCTTAAGGGTGGTGCCTGTGGCTCAAAAGGGTGCCAGTCCCATATGCTGGAGGTGGTGGGTTTAAACCTAGCCCTGGCCAAAAATGGCAAAAATAAAAAAAAAGATTTCAGTCTTAAAAAAACAAAAACCATTCACCTGATCCTGATCAATCTTTAAGAATGATTAGAGTAAACTCATTTGGAGTTGAAAACTATTGTCTGAAACCTTAAGCTGTGCTGTCTAACTGAAAACTTAGTGATACCTGAGGCAAGAAACCAATTGGATTATGGCGAGCTGAAACCAATGGCTGTTAAACTAGACATTTTACACTTGTGAATTCCATCTGGTTTTCCCATTCAAAAACAGCAAAAGAAATCTGCCCTAACTGATAAGTTCTCTGAACTTACAGTAACTACTCTGATAACTCACATTACACCATTTACCAAAACAGTGGACAAATATTAGAGAATGCCTCCACAACTGAAGAGTTTTATAACAGCAAAATGTCTACACTGCAGAATAAAGACGTGAGAAACTGACCACAACTGTGCAAATCAGTGAGGCTTCTGGAATATATGAACTGCATAATACACTTTCAAAACTGCTATGTCTCAGAGGATGATATTTATATGAAATCTATTAAAATAGAGAAAAAAATTTTAAAACTAAAAAAAAGTAAGTAGAAGTAAAAAATGACAAAAAGAATATCCTTTTTTTTTTTTTTTTTTT